AGAGGGAATATGGAGTATTAAACAAACAAGATAAAAGCTATTAAAATAATCACTCCAGACAATCTTCATCTATTATCAACAAATAATTGTTTAGCACGAGGTTTAGAGTACATTTATGAGAGGAAAGAATAAAAGAAGAAAAAAACACAGCTGTTATTTTTTCTTTTTTACAGTTAACAAACAGCTGGATGCATCTCTCTTTCCAATCTGGTGTTCCTGTAAATAATATGACAAATCACACAAACAAAAGAATTAATACAACAAAGAAGCTTAATTCCCACACACTTGCATCTTATTTTGAAGCCCTAAAAAGCTGGCTTCCAAGAGTCACAACTGGAGTTCCTTCTCCCATGATTGTTGTCAAGCTCATCTCTTTCTCCAGTATCCGATCCAGTTCCGTCACCACATAACTCATGGTAGGCCGCCTTTCACTCGAAGGGTCCATACAACGGACAGTCAACTGCATGAACTCTTCCATGCCTTCTGTGGTAAAGCTATTACCCAATCTTTGATCTATGATGGCAGATATGTTGCCAGATTCCTGATAATTCTCCACCTGAAATGAGAAAATTCTCTTATTACCAACTGCTTAACTAGCTAAATTCACTCAGCGGCTTAAGTTTATTTCAATGCACATAAAGGAGGGCATTGGTCCTAAGTTAATTTCCTGATTGTCTCCAGGAGCCCCAATATCCTTGTCAATATGTTTCAAATTATAAGCTTGTTCTGAGAAGGGTGTACCCATTCAACTATGTTTATATTCAAATCTGAAGACAGCAAATCCATTGCTTCACGGCCACTAACTAGCTCCAGGAGAAATACACCAAAACTGTAGGCATCACTTTTCTCAGAAAATCGTCGGAACTCTCTGACCCTACAGAACAATGAGAAAAAAGTCATTGAATCTTCTCATCAATCAGATCCCTTAACCACTGGGGACTGGAGAACAGAGCCTTATATAAAATAGAACATCTTGTTTTAAGCCTCTGAACATGGGTTTCCACAAAAGAATGGGTGGAAAAGATGTTCCAAAAAGTAAACACGAAAGAAGCAAGTGGACTACTCTGGAGCAAGAAAAATTTCATCAGCAGCTACTTGAGAAGATGGGCCTGCAACCTCAAATCTCCCAAGAAAATTGCGTAATCCTGCATCTGCAACTTTAGCTATGAAATTTTCATCCACGAGAACATTTGCTGTCTTGAAGTCTTTATGAATCAAGCGGGGACTTAGGGAATGAAGATGAGCAAGACCTGCATATTTACATTGAGCGGCAATGGAGCATAAGAACCAAACAATAAGGTTTTTCAACTGAAAGAAGCTGATATAGGGCCCTCAAGTGGTGTGAAAGCTTCTCAGAGAATTTTTCCAGACCAGACCGGGACACACATATTTTCTAAACAAAAGACAAAACAAATACCAGGGGAGCCAAAATGCTCACTGATTTTGCAGAGGATCACCTTTAGCTGCCCCTAGAGCTATAGAAAGCCTATGCTTGAACTCAAGTTTCTCTTGTGTAACATGACCATCACCTAGAAAGAAAAACCCAAGGAATGAAAAATCAAACAGTAAAATATATTGCATCCTACAAAGAGTTCGCAACATTTGCTAATTGGCTTGAAGTTGAAACCAGGTAAAAGCAAGAAAGTTTGGAATAACAAAGAGGGATCAATTTGTGAGGGGAGAAAAGGGGAAAGGAAGAAGCTCGGAACTTGGAAATATTAGGTTTCACCACAATGTACAGAAGATAAGGCAACTCACTGAATAGTCAAGAAAGTTTGGAATAACAAAGAGGGATCAATTTGTGGGGGGAGAAAAGGGGAAAGGAAGAAGCTCGGAACTTGGAAATATTAGGTTTCACCACAATGTACAGAAGATAATGCAACTCACTGAATAGTCAAAATTGGGAATAAATATTGGTAAATAAAAAGTATAAACTGGAAAGGGAGGAAACAGAAGTTTGAGTAGAAAGATGATTACCATATAAGTGAACGGATACACTTCCATTAGGTATGTACTCATAGACAAGAATCTGCTGATCATGTTCCTGGCAGTATCCTAGGAGGGTGACTAAGTTCCGGTGCTGAATACATGAGAGGTAGCGAACCTGATAGGAGATACAGTCCGAATACATCAAACCATATACAATGAACACATAGTCATAAGAACAATCATTAGTCATTTTCCAATACACCTAAAACAGATGAGGGTGGAATTTATAATTTGCTCCTCCTTACATAGTAGTCTCAATTTATCTGCAAAGCAGCGTCAGACTTACCAGCTGCATTTCTTCCAAGTACACTGGATATATGAATACGGGTACGGAAAAATTAGAGACAACCCAAAAGATGATGGCAAAAATGTGACCTAGGAGATAAATCACATGCCAGGTGTATTAGCTCAGTCCCCAATGGTAGGATGGAAAGGAGGCTTGTCAAAACAAATGGCAAGATAGATAAAGGATTTCATCTTGGTATTCTCTCCAAAAGCTATATCACGCCACGTCGCACTAGGCAAGAGGTGCACCTAACCCATCTACCCATGTATCAATCACGGTCTTACTTGCACTGGTAGACCCTTATTCATGGCCAAGAGGAAGATATCCTAGTAATGGGGATCTGTTTCTTGGGATATTCTATCAATTTCTTTCGGTTTTTTTCTCTGTCATTTTGATAACGTAAAATTTAATTGATTTGGACAGGCCTATAAAAGCAGAATACAAAAGTAAAGAATGTAATCAAAAGAGGGTTTCTACAAAGAGAGCCCAATCGTTTACCATAATTAGAATCTCACGGGTTCTCAAGAGCTTTAAATAACTCAATTTTTTCCATTTGTATCAGTTGAAAATTGCTATAATTTAAATCAATTCAATTTAAGTGAACTGTAGAAAAGAATTTCAAAATTTAGAAATAATATCAAATCCCATGACAGCCCAAGAATGGAAGTGTGCCTCTGGTTGCATATTCAATTCAGAACACGTGACTAGGTCGTCTGTACCTGAGCTTGAAAAAGAATTCTTTATAGTAATTGACTCTCCTCTGTTTCACGGGGAATGGACGAAGAGAAGTTTTTCTAATTAAAGCAGTCTCATGATAACTCAATTTAGGACTCCCCATGATTAGCAAAAATGGAATCAAATACCACAAGTTACACTCTTTATTCCTCACAGCAGCAATCCACTTTTTTCCCTCTCTTTTTCAATTGCCAGTTGTGTAATGCAATTTTATCAAGCTGTAACCCAACGTAACACCTAGGTCCCTTCTCCCATTGCAGACACAATCACAAAAAAGGAGAAAAGTACCAAAATTGACCTTCAATCTTCAAACATGCCTAAAAGTTTCGCATCGGCCTCCTAATATCCAGGTTCACCAAGATGGTTAAAATAAAGCCCAAGGGACTAAAATGTTGTGAAAGTCAACTTCCGTCTAATACTCAACCCAACAACTAATCAACTATCACCCATCCCAGTCAAAGCTTGGATTTGTCATGCCTTATTCACGCCACTGTTGATCACATAACAGAAGAGTGGTCCCAAGGAAGCAGCTAAAAGATGCTTCAAGTATAGCAGAAAAGTTGCTTGCTTCATCTTGTGTTTGGATTTGAGCTTCTAAGGAGATTGCAGAGATAAAGGATTTGGGCTAAGTGGCGCAACAGGTAATCTCAAATTGGAAGGTCTCTTGGGCAACTTAAACGGGTTTATCATGGTTTGGTGCCAGTTTAGGAAGGAGATGAAGCAGTGAAATAATAACATGATTGGAAGAAAAGTAATAAATGTTTTTACTTGATCATGTTGACACAAGGTAATCAGCAACAGTCTCAATGATGTTTCTGTTAAGAAGCCAGATTTGTGGCTTGATCTCTTACAGATTCAACTAGAACCTGAGATGGCGTTTGGTCACCAGAATGTGATCCTTGACACAACTTAGAAAACTGTGAAAATTTTAACAGAGAAGTAGATGTGGACAGTTGGTCAGTGCCTCGTAGAATATCTAAAGAATTTCTGTCTTTAGTTATTCTGTATTTAGTTATAAAATATTTACTAACCTTATTAATTGAAATTGATTAAGTACCAAACAATTTTGGTATGAGTGCGTGTAAGTAAACTTCCATAAACTTTGTCACTCTGTTTATTCAATCAGACAAGTGATAAAGGCCTGAAAGCGCCGAGCTTTTCAGGAGATAAGCTGATGCATTTAGTGCCTTTTATCTGTCAATGGAAGCAGATGACTTCCGAACCATTTTGATCAATCAGCCACTAACTAAAGGACGTAGTCACTTCAATATCAGGACGAGGTACGTAATTTTGGATAGGCTCAGAGGGACCAGTATGATTAAAGAAACAAACTCAAAAGAATATGTGCACTAATTTCCATTAGATGTAATAAGTACTATTACCTCGTCAATAAATTCCTGGCTAGGGACAGCCGATCGCCTTTTTATTGCTACAAGCATGCCATCATGAAGCAATCCCTTGTACACTTCCCCAAATTTGCCTTGGCCAATCAAATTCTTATCACTAAAACCTTTTGTTGCCAAAGACAATTCTTCTATCTGGAAGCGCCTGGCATCTCGTAAGGTCAATTCAATCCCAGCAGTTTTTCCAACTGCAAGTTATCCAGATACTTGAGGAAGTGATCTTAATTGGATAATACATAATGGCATGTTTGATTCGAATAAGAACTGAGTTACAATCACCTTGAATAGATGGATCAGAAGAGCCTGTCTCAGAAGTTCTTGAAATGCTCCTTTTATGAAAAATACAGAACCATAAAATGACAATCACAACCCCCACCAATGCCACGGCTCCTGCAGCACCTCCTACAATTGCTGCAAGAGTCCTTGACATTTGGCGACCACTTCAGCTGCAAAGGCGAGTACTTTTGGGATATATATTTTGACACATTGACACTGAAATATGAAGGATGTGCACGATGTTAGCTGATGAAGAGAATTTTCAAGAAGGAAAGAATAATTTGTTCAAATAAGTCAGGCATCCTAATATTACTAACATTGTATTTGTTTGTAGGTAATAAATCACCGGTGCATGTAGTTAATCGCCTTGCATAAGATGGAGCAAACACTTGTTTAGAAGACAAATCCCAAAGCAGGTGGGAGGACATAGTACACTATTTTCAGATGAAACCTCAAGCAACAAAGACTGAAGGACCCACCACCAAAACCATATGATAGACAAGAGCTTAAAACCCACGGCAACCCAATGCTTAAGAATAAGTATATGAATATGTTTTTTCTGACAAGGAAGCATAAATGAACATTATAGACTTGACATATAGCCCAATATGAGGGTCAAAGTGGCATAGAAGCTTATTTTACATCAAAGGAACTAAAAATTGGCAATATTTCAGGGTCTTTATAGTAAATAGTTAGTGCACATTTAAGAAAACATAGATAAGAGAAGTGGAGAAAAAGAATAACCTGAGATGGAAGATAAATAGGTTGGATAGAAGGCAGCAAACTTCATTTGGGAGGGAGTAATCTGGGAGAAGCGGCAGCAGCAGTCGGAGTCGGATCAGAATTCAGCCGCATTCCCACATAAAGTCAGAAATATTGAAACTTAAGGGGGAGGAAGTATCAAATCTAAAATCTACTGAAATCCTGTAACACTAACAATGAATCATCAGCATAGTGGTGTAGCTATAGGTAATGGGTATGTGGGGAATATGATACTCTACTCTAGTTTAATAGAAATGGGTTATTCTCTCCTCCGCCCGGCCATTTTAATCATCACCATTGTTGGATACAAACGATGCCGACAGAAAGCGACCTGGCGCCGACATATAAATTAGTCGTCTGCACCTCTATACAACTCAAAGATACCCCAACAACATAATAATAAAAAATACAAACACATTTCAAATCATTGCGGGAAATAAATTAATTAATAAAAAAGAGGAAAATCCTATTTTTTCAATTGTGTAAATAGCAAGGAAAGAAAATGGAGCTGGAAGGAAGAAGATGAAGACAAGTAATCGGAATTATTATTATTCCTACTTAGTACTATACTAGATTACTAGTACTAGTTTTCAAGTAGAAGCAGCGGCTGTAACCGTATGAAAACACTATTTAAGGAATAAATTTTATTGTTGAGGCAAAATAGTGTTTGTGTGGGTTGTAAAGTATAATGGCAAAGGTTGTCCGCTACTGCAAGTTGTGGACTGTATTTACATTTATTCTTTTTTTTCTACTAGTACTACGTATTATATCCTGTTTGGCCAAGCTGCAAAATTCAATTTATTTTGAGAATTATTTTTTTTCAAAAATACTTTTAGTGAGAAGCAGTTTATGTTTGGCGAGAAGAAGTTTATGTTTGGCGAATTAATTTGAAAAGCACTTCTGAGCAGCAATTAATGTTTATAGCCTTTTTGGCCAAGCTTCTAAAATCAGATTATTTTGAGAAGTAGTTTTCTCAAAAGTACTTTTAAAAAAAGTGCTTTTGGTGAGAAGCAGTTTGTGTTTGGCTAATTAATTTGAAAAGCACTTTTGAGCAGTAATTAGTGTTTGGCCAAGCTTTTGAAAACTGCTTCTAAGTGTGTTTTTCTCAAAAGTGCTTCTCAGAAAAGTGCTTTTGGAGAGAAGCTACTTTTTTTCTGCTTCTCCTCAAAAGCACTTTTTTTTTCCTTCCGAAAGCTTGGCCAAACACCTCAATTTTTGGCCAAAAGTGCTTTTGGCCAAAAAAAAACTACTTTTGGCCCAAAAAAAAGCTTGGCCAAACAGGCTATTAGTCAAGATTTTAAAAAAGTGCTTCTAATTATATTTTTCTCAAAAGTGTTTTTCAAAAAAATATACTTTTTGAAAGAAACTATTTTTTTTCTAATTCTCCAAAACTGCTTCTGCTTCTATTCAAAAACACTTTTTCCTTTCCACTAAAAGCTTGGCCAAACACATTAACTTTGAAAAAAATTCAACTTTTTTCTGAAAAAAAAATAAAATACTTTGGCAAACAAACTATTAGTACTATATTCTTACCTGTTGGCTCCAGCCTGTTCGTGGCTAAACACAACACTTACTCTGCTAAGAGGCGATACATATACATATTCCTTAAATATTTTTAATTTATATGTGTAGTTTGAGTCTATACAAGTGATTGGATATTTGTAGCGATGTTCAATAAAATTCGAAGCTTGTGTTTCTCTTTTCACCAATGTTAATGTGTTCTTAATTGAGTTATAAGAATAGAGCAACCCGCTTACCCTTCCGGAAACTTGTGTTTTGTTTGGCTGGATAATACAAAGTGAGAATAAATATGTACAATATGCAAGTTCTATCGTTATCTTGGCAATTACATGCATTATCAACCAAACACGTCTCGTTTTTAATTAAGATCATGATCTATACACATTCTATGTATATCCATTAAGTTATTAAAAATATAAAATTTAATTTAATTGCTCCACCTTTGAGTATTTGAACGTAGCTCTACGTGTGGGGTAGATTATTAAGCTAGCGTTTGGCCATAGATCCCAAATTTATTTTGAAAAATCTGATTTGGGTGAAGTTTGCTTTGAAGTTGAAAATGTGTTTGGACATACGTTTTCAAAACATATTTTCCAACTTTATTTTGAAAAAACATGTATATAATTCCCAAGTTCTGGGATTTTGGCCCAAAATCAGCTCAATAGCTGATTTTGGGATTTGAGATTTGAGATTTGGAATTTGGTCAAAATATGGGCAAAATTTATGGCCAAACATGAGTTTTGAAAATAAATCCCAAATTTATTTTGGCAAAACTCATGGCCAAACGGGGCAAATTTGCAGGACCAAAATAGACATTCAATTTGGATAGAACTAATCAATCAAATAAATAATTGTAAATCATAAAGTATTTTAATCACTAATACATAATAAACTAAGTGAATTGTGTAAATAATATGAGTTAATATCAACTGTGATATCAAATTGGAAATCAATTAATATGAATGTAATCACAATTTTTAAAGTTAACCTCAAAACATATTCGCTATCAAATGTTTGAATTATAGCAAATCTCCCCATTTAGTTGATTCTCAAGTAATTGACTAAGATAATATTGTATGCATGTACACCTAGCTATTATTTTAAATAAACTAATAAAAAATTTCCTTCTCCAAACTTTAAATTAAAATATCAAAATGCACCTAATGTTACCTAAGATAGCACGTATATTAATTTAATCAGAGTTTGAAATTTTTCGCTGCATAAGATAGTTTATAGTACCAAATTTGATTAGCACGTCGAAGCACTTTTTGATTAATTTTCAAAATTAGGTACAACAAAGCATGCGGGGCATTTAATCAAAATGAATGTTTATTGTCATAGCTCAATTGTTTAAGTATCACAGTGGCGACATCATCATAAAATCAACAATTTAATTTATAATTACCTTTTTTATTTGTCTATTGTAAATTAATAATAGGTGAATTTGATTATAATCACACCTTAAATAATCACCTTCTTGTGTAGTTTTAATGCTAAAAGTGATAACAAAATACTCTTATTAGTGTTTTTCATGATTTGCAGGTGATATATGTATAAGGAAGGCTAAGGAGCAGTTTTGGAGTCAAAATTGAAGAAAAAGAGGCCAACTGTGAAATTCCCCAAGTAAACCATGCAAAACGGGCCTGAAGATTCAGAGAACTGGTTTGACCGCGGTTCCACCGCGACCGCGGTAGAACCACGGTGGAAGATAGCTGCGGATAAAATAGGATTCAGAGAAGGCATTTGGCCGCGGTTTGACCGCGACCGCGGCAGAACCGCGGCGGAAGCAGAAAACTTCAGGGACTAAAGTGTAAAACACGGGATTTTTAGACCTAAACCCTATTTAAAACATTAGACTTCGCCAAGAGAGGCATGTATTGATTTTTAAGGTTTCTTAGCAAGAAAAACCATTATGAGAGAATACTCCAAACATCTTTCTTCTTTACTTTTGAATTTTATGATGAATTCTATCTTAGTTTATTTTCCCATAGCCATGAGTAGCTAAATTCCTTGTCTAAGGTTTTGATGGAACCTATTGGGTGATGAACTTCTTGTTTATGTGAATACAAAGTGCTAGTTTAATCTCTATTGGTTCAACTTTGTGTTTGTTGTAGTTAATTGACAGGATCCTCAATTAGCTGTGCCTATTTAGTGTGCATAACTTGGAAAAGAGTGCATATTTAGGGTATTATTGAACAACACCACTCCTAGATTATTAGAGGAATCTATAATTGCGGGTTTAAAGGCGGGATTAGGGATAACGAAGCCTTGGGTGTAATCTAAAGTGAATCGTGCTAAATAAAGTAAGCTAGTGTATCTCGGGAGAGTGCAATAGTAAATTACTGTGATTACTCGGGAGAGATTTACGGTAAGATTAGCGTTCATGATTGATA